GGTTTTACTGTACTTTTAATGCAAAAGAAAAAAGAATAACAGTTAAATCAATTTATTTAAACTAAAAAATAATAATTACAATTTTTAATATTTAAAATTGAATTAGTGTATATGCACATAATCAAGGCTTGGATTATGATAGTAGAAAACCTAAAACGTAATTTTCAGATATCATAGACATTGTAACGTTTGCACAAATCCAAATGTCAGAAGAATTGCTGTGAGTTCTTGTTTGTGAACAAATTCATGTGTGAGAAGAATAGATGTGAGTTGTTTTTGTGAACAAATCCCACAGTTAGAAGATGTTCTTTGAGATTCTTTTTACATTTTCATATAAACTTTTATTTTTTAGCCATTATTTTTTCATGACAAATTATTATAATGTTATGCTTTATTGCATAAGTACAAATTCTGGTTTTGAAAACAACCGTCTCAAAATGCGTGTTTTCAAATTTGCGTGAATGCAATAAAGCAACATTTATGGGACCATTTGCGGGGCCTATTTGCTCTTGGGCAGTTGTTCCCCTCCCGGGTTTTTGGACCCTCGCTTCCTCGGAAGCCTCCCCGCCGCGGGTCTGGGAACTTTCATCGAGCAGGCGCACCTCGCGGACGTCGCTCTCGATTGACTATATCCGAGCTGTTTGGTTGGGAAAAAGCGAGATCTCGAGAGGGGATGTTGCCAGAGAGACAACCAACTTTATCAACGAGCTTTTTACGTTTTTTTGTTATACCAGCATTAAAAATTTGTAAGAGAATCAAAGTTAGTTTTTGGAAACAACTTCGTTGTGACATCATGGGACATCTGTGGTAGAAAACGCTGTGGGCTGTGTGGTTTATTGCCAAAACCACACAATTCCCTCGCTCCTATTGGCTAAATGTGTGATGACGCTATAAATAGCCATAATACACTAATATATAATAATCTGTCAGAAATGCCATCATATGAACGATTTCTTGCAACGAAAAAGTTTGTTTTTTTTAATTCTCGGACAAAAAACGTTTTTTCTCTATGATATTTATCACTCATCTAATGTAAAGTGTAAATTAATTGATGGTTTTGAGTTATGTAACAACCTGCTTGAGCGTTCAATTTCAAGCAATGACCATCTCCTCAGCGTGCATAGTATCGCACCTGAATCACTTGCCGGTGTACCAACGCGAGGACTCGCGTCTTAGCGCTGCTCGAACATCTCAGTCAACGAAGATCTTGTAGGCTATTTTGATAATCCACAATTTTATTGATATTAAGCCGTTGTGAATAGCTTATGAACATTGCTTTAGTTTTGCCAAAGAACAGTTAAAATCTATAAGCTCCCGACCGAGCTCGTGGTATTTGTATTAGTGTAGTGCGTCTAGTTGTGTGTAATTACGCGGTGAGGATGTGACAAGGAAGAGGGAGGAAAGATCGCGCGTGATCTTTGGTCCGTGGTCCGTTTGTTAGAGTACTACTCCGGCAGTCGCCTGGTGTTGATCGGAGAAACTACAGACAACTATCGATTAGATCAGCCTTCCGTTACATTGCTCCTCCAGACAGCGTCTGAATTCGACCTAGCTGTCTAGTTACTGTCGGAAATTCTGCCACCGTCGGGACTCGAACTTAAAACCTCCCGGTCAGAGACACTGCTGTGACATTTGACATTAGTTTGATGCCTTGAGACACCTCTCCTGGTGGGTAATTGCTAATTTTATACAATATATTTTAAAGACAGACTCTGTATTTGAGGACAACATGATGCTTTGTGCTCTTATCGGCTGACGTACTATCTCACAGCTTTCAAATAATCGACCCCTTGAAGATGATGGGCTCTCGCTCTATCTTTTGCAGCTGGGAATCACCGTTCTGGGAGAAATTCTACATTTACTCTTCCTCGTTGAGCACTGCCTCGTAAAAGTCCTTCTTTAAACTCGGACAATTATTTCGGAAAAATGTTAAATCGTTCCGAAAATTAAAATTATCTGAAGTGATAAGTCAAAAACGTGTCGGGCGTCACAGTATACTCGTAGAATTGTTGTCACTCGCATCTTATAATTAAAGTTTGAGAATTACAATGCACTAAATGCGTTTTCACCATTTTACACAATGAAAACAAGTCTGAAAATTCTGTATCACATATAATACTTTAAAAACGCGTAAAATATTCACTGAAGGAGACGTCTGATAGGTTTATTGGTAAAATGTCTATTTAACAACTGCTATTAACTTTATTTCCCTGTTGAAAATAATTTTTATTGTACCCTTTCTCCTCTAGAATCTTCGAATTCAGATTCGAATTTTAGGCAAAAAAATATTATTTCAGGGCCTTGGTAACGAAAAACTGGTTGCATAGTTGCTAAATTTAGAACAAAATCCTCTTAACACGCGTTGTAGTTAGAATTCTTGTCTTGTGGTTCCATGATATCGAAAATCGATTGACGGCAAAACGTCTTTCCATTCGTCCGTCTGTGAACAACGCTAGCGGCAAAACCGTTCAGCCGAATTTCTTCAAAATTGATATTCCCCCATCTATTTGAAACCTTGACTACGAAACCGATATTTTTATTTTGTGGGGTAGGTTACAAGAATACCCTTAGATATTTTCAAAATTTTCAAAGAAATTGCTCCATTTTTTTGATTAAATTTTGTTGTTGGATAGTGTAAAAGACGTTTAAGAGAATGGTGCAGGTCACATTCGTATTAAAAACTCTGATATTTCGAAAATTGAAAAATTCAAACTTTTTCGGCGTCTTCTTACAATTACAATTTTAAAGACAGAGATTTTCCGCATAATGAAATATTTACCTTAAATATAAATATTGAAATAAAGTAATATATAATTGGTCCAAAATTTGAGAACTTTTTGGGTGAATGTACGAGCGAGAAAGTAGATACTGGTTGAGTAGATTGTCTTTTCTCCTGCAGAGTCAATCGGATTTTCCACTTTTTTCATATTGTTAGGTCACGTGATCTAAGTGAGCAGCACGGGATGTGTGTGGCAAGAACATACTTGCAAGACTTGACCCTTCCTGCGCCCTTAGGATGCGGCCGCGTCAATTGGAATTCCCAATGAAATCCACTGACTTAGGTGGCTCAGACGGTCACAGAAGTTTCGACACTAGCTACGTAACTAAGTCGAATACAGCCGCAGTCTGGAGGAGATTTCTGTGGTTTCCCCAATACACACCAAGCAAATGCTAGAGAGGTACCCTAAAACGAGCCACGGGCTGCGCGTACACTTACCTACGCACAGTTACACTTACGTGGAGCACTCTACCACTCGCGCCGCGAGACCATCGGGAGTTCGTGCTAGTCCCGGCTGGGACGTTGCCCTGCTGGTTGGGGGAAAACCTGTCTATTCGACGTGTAAATCAGCGCCTGGTCTTACTATCCATGGGGAAGATCATCAGCACTTCCTGAGTAAAGCATGCACTACACTAACAGAACTAATAGCCTCAACAGTTGACGGCCCAGAAACACGAAATAATCAACCCACCCATAAAATTCTGAGCGTGACGTGACCCCACGTGGCTTATCGTCAAGAATTAAGAGTCAGTGGAAGAATTAGGATTCTTTTCAATGGATTAAAATATCTTATATAGGTGTTGTGGTAAGATATCTTTGGCATTTTTAAAATAATTAAAGATGTTGTCATTGCCAACGCCATTGACAATTGTCATTGTCATTGTTGGCAATGACAACATCTTTAATTATTTTAAAATATCTTTCCTGTTGTATGAAAGGATTCCTATTTAGAATTCTTGGGACGTGGCGATGGTCCGATGATTCCAAGGGAACTGACATAGCGGCGACCTCTGCCCCGGCATGCTTCAGCTGAAAAACCTCTGAGTACCGACTTCTACACTCTTCTAGCTAAGATAAAACAATTTAATAAGTGACAGGTGGAACATGTTTTATCTTTTTTAAGTAATAAATTTATCTCAACGTCTGTAATTATGTGTATTGTTTCCGATAACTCAGTTCTTCAAGAAAATTCACAAAAATCATTAGGCGACGCATGTGAAAATCTCGCCGGCCAAAGATGAAGACTAACCACTGTACGATTAAGGTCCTTTTGAGAAAAGTCATTTAACTACTCTCCTGGCTTCAAGTAAAGCATTGCATTCGTAGGAGTATATCCATCCCAATACCTTTTAGTCCCTTTTTGACTACTTTTGAGGAAAGGGATATATTAGTAATCACCATTAACAAGTAATTGGAACGATTCAGAGACATAAGTCTCTTACAGAATTGCCCCTCGCCGAGCCAGGGGAAAACAAGGGGCCGCGCAATTGACGGCTTGTTCTCACGAGAGACAACTCTCCGAACTCCGTGAAATTTTTGACTATATAACACTCATTATTTTCGTTTAAACCAAATGATCTCTAAAGTTGAAGTGAACATATTCCTTTAACCGTGGTCCACATAAGGAACTTCTGCTGTTTACATCAATCCAGCGGCTTTTCTATCCTCGAAACTAGTGAGAAGTAAATACGAAAGAAATAACATTGAAAACATACGCCCCAACTAGTCCTTAACTCAAGAGTTTTAATATAATAATAATAATTATTATTATTGTTTGTTGGTGTATAGGCCAATAATAGTGGTACTGACCACGCTACAAGAATAACGTGTGTACATTTTTCAGGATCAATTTTTTTTTCCAGCTGTATCCCTCATTACGACAAGGTTGTTACGGCTTGAAGTGTAAATTATGAGATGATAAGATGATGATGATGAGGGGTGAAGGGACATTCACAAATACGACCAAGTCGACACAGAACTCGAACCTGCAGCCTCGTCAGTGCAGCCGACGGTTCTGCAACCGTCTGCGCCACGGGGCAGACATTATTATTATTATTATTATTATTATTATTATTATTATTATTATTGTTGTTGTTGTTGTTGTTGTTTAATATTCTTCTGCACATCGAGGCATGCGTGGGGTGTGATCCAAAAAGCGCTATCTGATATAGACAGAGAGCATCTCTCCCGTCAGCCTCGGCAAACGCGTGTCTTTGTCCACTTGCGCCCGCGCGAGCCCCCTGCCGCCTGCCCGCAGGTGGAGCAGCCGCTGGCGCTGAGCCGCGCGCAGGCGCCGCTGGACATCCAGAAGAAGTCGGTGGACTGGTCGGAGTACTTCGGGCTGGACCGGCGCCGCAAGAAGACCGGGCCGGGCGACGACGAGCGCTGGCTCATGGACCGCTACCGCAACCTGGCGCTGGCCACCGCGGTGCGCAAGCGCGCGCCGGCGCTCGCCCAGGCCGAGGGCGAGGGCGAGGGCCCGCCGCTGGAGGCGCCCCCGCTCGACACGCGTCACTTCGCCCTCGGCGACATCTTCTCGCGCGCCAGCCGCCAGCGCCAAGGTGCGTGACGCGCTGCTGCAACCACCGCGTAACTCATCAGGCCGCTAGTCGCGCGCGTGCGATGCATCTTTTTCGTCCCGGGAGGGGGCACTTTTCTTCCTCCGCTGGGTGGCGACAAAAGGCGCCGATCCACCCGTCGGCTGGCCGGGTTTCCGCAACCAGGCACGCTCTACGCTTCCGGCTGGTTTCCCGGCATGTGTGCTAGTGTAGTGCATGGGCAAGAGGTGAGGACAGGGCAGAAGTAGTACAAGGAAAGATCGTGCGCGAACCGTGGCCAATTTGTTAGGATACTGCTACGGCATTCGACTGGTGTTGTTCGGAGAATCTACGGAAAATTTCCGATAACAGCAGCAATACTTCTCCTCCAGACAGCGGCTGAATTCGACCTAGCTGTGTAGCTAGTGTCGATGGCCCTACCCTGTCCTGGGGACTCAAACCCTCCGACCTCCCGGTCAGAGTCAAACGACCCTGTCCGACGCGTCCTACGGTTCAAATTCCGGTGGTGGCGCATTTTCGACACTCTCTACTACCTGGGTCGAATTCATTCGCTTCCTGAGAATTCTAGCGGGTTCTGAACGGTTTTTTTTCGTTTCTCTGATCAATGCCAGGGGAGTACCAGAGCAAACCCTAACAAATGAGTTCCGGAACGCACGCGATTTTTATTTTGTCTTCCTTGCCCTATCCTCTCTCCTTTTTATACGCACATTTATTTGTCCTACCCTATCAGATATGTCAGAAGACGATAGCTTTGACCTTCATCCGGCTTGAACTACGCTCTACGGGGGCACATATGGAGGTATACATTCACATTTCTATTCCTTGCTTTAGAAACCTAGAAGATTATACAGCAAATGCGAACCGACGACATTCCTGCCCGTTTTTTCAAAATATGTCTGAATATATTATGAGCATTATTGAGATAAGTGCATTATAAAAGAGCATTTCCACTTGAAGTGTTGGTTCTGCAGCCTCTGTTGTATTTTTAAGTAACGTTTGAACGTGCATTCGTATAGAGTTCGGTTAGGATACTACGGTCTGTCTAGTCCGTAGGACCAGTATTCTGGGAGTGGGAAGACAGAGACAGTTTCTAGACATAAATGGGTTTCGATTATGCAGGCTAGTTTTGTGTCGTGAGAATGAAGGAAGTAGACGAATGTTGGCCTGTTTTGTTTGACCATAGTTAAGATACTTTGTTTAGGGTTGGCACACTCTTTGGTAGTTATTAAACATTAGCGGTCGAGATTAATTATTTGGTGCATGAAATTCGCTAGGAGTTGCTCTATGATATTTTTAATCTGCATTAGAATTGGAGATAAGTGGCATTGAAAGTTAGGAGTTAGAGTGACGGAAAAAGATGGCCTTGAGTGTACGTTTTTCCAATACTGAAAGTGAATTCTTGTGGGATGTAAAGTTTAAATACACGAGTCGGTTGTTGGTTCACGTTTATGCGAAGTTTGGTAGAAAGAGTGGGAGTAGCACAAGTGGGGGTATTAATGGAAATACCTGTGATAGTGGAGAATGCGAGGTTGTTGGGAGTGGCCATGGCTGAGGTTGTTGAGTTCGCACTGAAGTGAAAGGTTTGGAATTAGTTCTACGATAAGGTGAATTGAGCCGAAGACGCCAGATGATAAGTGGCCGATAGTACAGGCACGCACGCGGTTCTGTGAACTATATCAATGTTTTCTGCTGCGTAGATGATTCAGATGGGCGGAGCATTCTTGGGGCAAAGGCACTTTGAATAGTGTGTGCTTCCGGTTATCTGACACAGAGTGACTCACAGTGACAGTAACTCTTCGTGTTATTGAATTATTGCCCGTCTGGCATTGAACTGAGCCTAACTATTTTATTTCTACGCTGACGCTCTAATGTACGACATTTTCTAGGGTCATTATCAATTGCCTTTATCAGTGGCTTCTAGCCATTCTACTAGGCTGGTTGGAGATCTGGATCTGTATATTCTGAGGACTTTCTTTACATATTCTATAGGTTGTAGGCAGTGAGGATTTGTTCTTCTGTACGCGTGGAAAGGACATTGAGGATAATAACCGAGAGAAGTTTGTTGCTAGGCAAAGTGTTCGTGTGGCATTTTAAGGATTGGATGTCGAGGTAAGAAGTTGAACCGCGGAAGTCGTTGCTGCCAGAGGTTGGACTCTTTGTTAATTGGACTCGTTGTTAATCTTCTGTACTAAATCCTGGATTCTTTCGGTATTTGCTTTAGGTGATCAATGAAGATTGCATGGTTTATCATGGTTCAGGAATATCAGAGGGATTGATTCGGATTGCATATTGCGGATTGTTAGTAGGTTATAACTGTCTTTGAATGCCTCAAGAACACAATTGGAGTGGGATGTCAGTGACGTACGAAGGTGGGGAGTTTAACGCACGTTAGGTGTTCTCATTTGGAGGAAACTGCAGATTGCTTGTTTGACAATGGCAGAAATGTCCGTTGAAAAGTTAGCGGCGCTACCTTAGTCTGATAGTTGAGATTGAAAATCGTGCTGCATGATGTTTGCTTGTTGTTGCTCTTGCTGCAGTAGTTGTTGATGTTACAATAGATGCCAAATATGCAGTTGTTGCAGAAGTTATTCCAGTAGTGAATGTTGTTCCTGGTGAACACATTCTTGAGTTTGTTGTTATTGAAGTTGCTAGTATAGGTGGTCTACTCGCATTCGACGATAGAGTTACAGTTTATAAGTAAGATTGTATTATATTCTACATTAAGTAATGCACCTATCTACGCAGCCGTATCGATTAGCTCCAAAATGGGGCCTAATACGTTGTTCCATTGTGCGTTATCGGTCACTATTGTGGATGCCCCGGCACCGCACTAACAATCATAATAGTTAATGTTATTTAGGCAAACACAGCATTTACTGTGGGCGAAACACAAAAATGTTAGGTTTAGTGTCACAATACACGGTTGCTGTTCATCGACACAAGACACTTTCTGAACACATTTCGCAAGTAGTGAGGGCTGTACAGTGCGGAGATCCGGTTCACTATGTTCACTATGGCTGTTAGGAGAAGAATGGTGCCTTTTCCAAAACTCAGATATCTGTAGTACCTTCAGGCCAAGAGCAGTTAATTGCCACTTGTGAGATTGTGTGGGTTGCTGTGGCATAATATACTCGTCATATTTTATTCGTTTCTTAAAAAACCCTTCCATTAATATTTGCAATCTCACATCATATTTATGGTAACTTTGCATTTACTATTTATTATTTATTTTATCATTACTATGCATTTAAAATTATCTGATCATTTCCGAAGTTATATTCTGTTATATTTTCTCCTTTACAATATAGTGAGTATAATCAGGTGAGAGGGGAACAATATTTTATAAAATCCTTTCTAAACCAATTCGCGAAAGTTAGGAGAGATTTATAAAATATTAGTTGAAACTATATATTATAATTTTTCAGCTATACGTCTGAAAATTATAACACATTTTCCCCAAACATATTCACTCATTCACTTGAATGGTCACACAACCATCACGAGTGCTTACGCTTCCTGCATTCATTCTCAAGAACCGTCACTACTACATCCTCGCCACAAACTTCCTCTTTACCTTACTTCCCTTCTGACGCTGCTGTTGTTTCGAGAGCTGAGAGAATGTAGACGAAGAAAATCCAATTAGTAACTCATCACTTTCCAAACTTCCCCTACTTAGAAAGCTCCAACTTTGTACGTAACAAACCGTCGTTGGAGATACTTGCCATTGAAAACGATATTTCATAACTACGATCTTCGGGTGAAAAATAAAATTGAAGAAATGAAATAATAATTTTGATGTAATAGTACACAATTATGGATTTGTTAATTTCATTTAACATTCTAAATCAAGTATTAAAACTTACAGAGAAAGAATTAATAGTAGCATAGTCGATCTCAAAGTATTGATCAAACGCGCGGTGATTTCTAATGAAACGCGAACGAAATGGGAACTAATTAATTGAAAATAAAACAATCTTAACGAGGAACATCTATGTTGGAGTTTAAAGGCGGCTTAAGTTACGTAAATTACCAAATTACCTCTTCCCTTCCTCTCCGCTTGTTTTTTTTTTTTTTTTGGCGGCCACCATATTGTTAAAAAACGATTGAGGTAATTGATAAAAATCCAACATCTCCATTTGCTATGATGATGTGACTTCGTAAGATTTGAATGTAATCATTTATGAAATTGTATTTTCATTTATTATATTCCATCGTGTGAGCTGCACCCCGATATTTTTGTCGGGGGTCGAAGGCACTTATCATAAACAAATTGTGTTGCAAAATTCATTACCCCGAAAAGATAGCGATATCGCAAATGACATTTTCTATTAACAAAATTGCGAGCTATGAAGCAAGCAGAGGGTAATCAAATTGTTGCGTTCTTGGATATGACAGATCCCAGTGGCGGGAATATGTTTTAAAGTCAACACTTACGTATACATTATTTACTAGATATATTTTGTCAACGACATAATGTGAAAATATGGATGTTAGTATCTTTTTAAGTAGAATTGATCATAAAATCACTATCACTACTAAATCATTAATTGTGTTGTATTCCTTTTATATGTAATTCATAAATAGAACTATACAGTTTTAGGAAATATTTCAGTATCAATTATTAATAAAGGTTATCAAAAAAAGAGGGGCTCAGAGTGAATTGAAGGCGTTAACATTTCGCCTATTTACACAGATTTTTTATGTCGTGTTACTTTGTAGTGCACGTTATATACGTACATGTCGAAATGCGCAAAATGTAGATAAATCGTGAATACCTATGCGGGGCATCACATGAAAGCGCAACAAAATGACGCCTTTTGCCGGCGTCTTCCTGCTCCGTTCGTGAGCGGCGTCTTCCCCGAGCAGGCGCGGCGGGCGGCGGCCGCCTGGACGGCGTCGACTCCAAGCTGCGGGGCATGGAGGACCTGATCGTGAACGAGGCGGTCAAGTACACGGGCGCGCACGAGGGCGCCACGGACCCGCGGGAGGTGCAGGAGGTGAAGGACAAGATCCTGGCGCGCCTCGCCGCCGCCTACAGCCTGGAGAAGATGCGACTGGCGCTGCGCGAGTTCAAGTCCAGCCTGCAGGCGCAGAAGATGTCCAGGTGCGAGACCGGCCACACTTGTACTTCCTTCATTGATCGATTTGGTACACAGTATGGATGTCGCTAAATTCTTATAAAATATTAATTTTTGTCACTCTATCAACTAATTATCATTTTTAAAACATTAATATTCAAATACTGAACAATAATAATACAAAGAACAATATACGAAGAGGCAAATAATATTTAACTATCGTACATCTTAAGTTACCTTATCTAGTGTACGTATTTGCGAGTTCGTGTTCATATACGCGAGTTTTTGTGCGTGTTTGTACGTATTTGCGAGTCAGAAAAGGACGCTTCGTAGATCTAGGAGGTTAGCTGGGGGGCTACATTTAAGCAAGGTTAGAGGTGGATTTTCGACACGAACTAAAGAAGTACAGTGTTTCCTCTGGCTGGAAAGTTCTAGACGCTACCGACTGCTCTGATCGATTGTTCCGTGGTTTCCCCAATCGATTTTAGGCAAGCGCCAAAGCAGTACATTAAATAACGATTCGTACACCGCTCGAATCTTCCTTTCCAATCGTGTGTTAGGGACGAGTGGTCTGACAAAAAAAAAATCGTCCCAATGGCTCATCTCACACGATCTACAACAGCTCCTATACTCTGAGCAAGCGGGTGGCAGGCCAAAGTTTGAATGGATGTTGCACCATAGGAAGGACAATGCATCTGATATCATGCAATGACCCAAAGAGTAGTGTGACGTAACGAGAACGGAGATAACACAGACACGATACTCCTTGAAGAAAAATTGAGAAGCAAAATTTATAGACTCTATCATTTTTTATTACCGAACAATATCTTCGTCAATCCTGAATGTATTCAAAGTGATAGGTAGAAGTAATTACGTTGTATTATCCTCCTGATACGGAGACAACGGAAAATCCAAGTGATGATTCTAAACTTGAACCTTTTAAATGATGTCCAATCAACCAATACATTTTAATAATTTTTAAGGTAATTCTACATTATTACAATAGGCTAATTTTATCAGGGAATGAACTGTTTGGCAAATATCCACCTTGGGACTAACAGATTGATTTTTTCACACTAATTAAGTTAAGGAAATACAGCCCACACTAACGTAAGTTACAATTGCCAATATTATCATGTGTTCAGTATTTAAATGATGTATATTTTAGTGGCTATTCTGGTATTAACAATACTAATGAGAATTTGAAAATGTTTATTTCTTCGTTTTTGAGAAACTCCCACAATTACAATTAGATGAAATCTGATGAAAATGTGTACAGTAGTAGGTGTATCATTAGGAAACTTTCCAATTTTAAATATCAAATGACAATTCAGTGTTCATGATCCCCTTTGACATACAAACGGAAACAATCAAGAGGTAAATCTTGAATATTAGAAGCTCACTTTAGAAGATGTTGCATCAGATAGATCTCAACATGATGTAATTATCGTTAGATATGATTTAAACTGTTTCCATGTGATGTAATTTACAGCATGATGTAAATTATCGTATGGCAACGCACCTTGTACTCTTTACTTCCCCAGGTACAACCCTGAGAACCAACCGAAAAGCAACGAGGAAGACAAGAAGAAACGCGTGGCGGTGAAGAAGGAAAAGGCGGAGGAGAAGGAGCCCGAGAAGGAGGAGCAGGAGGCGAGCGCCGAGGAGGAGGAGGAGGAGGAGGAAGAGGAGGAGGAGAGGAAGCGCGCGGCGGCGAAGAAGGCGGAGGCCGAGGCGACCGAGTTCTTGGAAGAGCCGCGCGGCATCGAGCCGCTCTCAGAAGGCTACATGGGCCAGGCGCCCCCCAACGCCATCGAAGGTGAGCGAGCCTTACACACGGTTTTCCCTGTCAGGCCATTCGAAAGGGTCTGGCGAAAACCGACAATAAGAAATAACTTAAATCCAATTGATCCTTCAGCTAAATTGCTGATCGGCAACTGATGTCTCTTCAGGGTTTCTGATCTAGAAATCCGACAATTCACGTCCCGATGTTGGCAGATTTTCGATAGTAGGTAGAGAGCGCATTTGAATTTAGCCACTATCTGCAGGAGAATTCTAGTTGCCAGCTGCTCTGATCGATAGTTTGTCATTGAATACTGCGCGGAGCAGCACTTTAAGAAGCGAGCCGCGGACCGCGCCCGATCCCTCGCTCCTCCTCCTTATCCCCTCTTCTCCCTTTCCCGTCACACACTCGCTTCCGTGCATTGCAATACCACACATGTCAGAAAGTAACTCGGCCTCTCGCCTGGGGCAGCGCCGCGCTGGCGAACATGCGTGGAGGCAGAAACCTCGCAAGCGACGTGTATGTCGGTGTCGGATTTCTTGTTCGAGCAGAGGAGAAACACCCCCACGTCCAGGCATATAGCATGCACTGCTTTTACGGGAATACGTATCATATTTGTTGACGTTGTGTTCAAAATAAATAATCGATCAATCTAATGAACCGTTCGTTCTTCAAAATATTAACAAAATACATTCTACAGAGCACACCTGCATTTTACATTCACAAAAAGAGAAATGCCAGTCCGGATGGCCGCTAAGCTAAGTTAGTGCTAAGGCATAGCTATCCCATAGCGAAGGATCGCGGGTTCGAGTCCCGCCTCGGCCATGGCTGTATTGTGTTCGACCTTTCACACCCTATCATCATGGTATCGTGTCATCCCCACAGTTACCATACCGTTACACGCAATAGGGGGTCGCTAATGACTTACAAGTTGATGCGCACTTAAATAACATAAAAAAGAAATAATGAACTCGTGAAATGTACTTGTGAACATTTGATCTCTTCTGCATTTTTTGAATACTAATGAGGGGCGTAAGGGAGACAACGAGGAAGGAAGAAGAGGTGGAAAGGACATTGTTTTGGATGAAAACTTCATGAGACTCACTTGGGAACGTATACATTGGATGCACGTAAGGGCGCTGGATTCTGGACAATGTGTGGTAGAATCACGGGAACAAGTGGTTAAGTTTGGAAATAACCACTTGCAACTGTAATATTGCCGAGAGAATGTACAAATGCCAGATTTTGAGAAAAATTTGTCGAAAGCTGAATCGTACAAAAACTAGTCATTTAAACCCCAAGATTTTTTCAGCAGTACAAATTACGAACATTTGTGTAGTACTATGACCGGATATGTGAGCCCAAGACTTCCTTCTTTTTTGACGGGGAGGAAGCGTAAAGATCGACAGGCTTTATGACTTCTTGTGTTTAAATCCATACAATGTGAACTTGAATAATTTTCATATAATTTTATGTAATTGAACATATGCCCTAATCCCAGCATCTGCCGCTTACTTTCAGTGGTACGCCCCTGGATGCTGACTGTGTCACTGACACTGTGTTTCGGAGACGGTCCTCTTCGGAGCCTCGACCGCCCTGCCAGGTTGCTGCATTGACAAACACTGAGCCTCACAGGGTCAAAGGGCAGTTACGGTCACAAATTCGATTAGGAGTTACGATTGCGTTATCCGTTTCTACCTGCGTGCATCCAAACAAAACGGACGTAATACGAACATCCTATAAACCTATGAAAACGTAAGTTTGTATTATTAAACCACAATATCAACTTCAGTATAAAACAAATACGTGATGGGTTGCCTACCAATCACATACAACAGCCACATACCTAACTTCGTTATTTGTAATTTCGCACCCATTTTCATAGGCAAAAAAGTCATCATCTTCAACTCCCTCTATAAGTTGTTTTTTGTTGTTTTCTAAGATCGCTTTTACACTGCGCGGTCATATAGCGACCATTGTAATTTTTAATTTTGGGGTAACGGTGGTGGAATATATACTAAGAGCATACACAAACATACAAGCCCGTGGGGCAGGATTCGAAGCCGCGATCCTTTAAGCCAAGGCAGATGCGGTCCTCCAGTCTCCATGATGTCCGCAATCCAGCCCTCTACAACTTCGTCGCATTAATTGCGAGACAGCAGAAGAATTTCTTAAGATTTTGCAGGGCAGGCTTCGTTTGGAGCCGCCCCTGAGGTATGCGCGTGTTCGCAGACGAGTGCCCGGTGCTGGTGGGCGTGGAGCGCAAGTGCCGGGCGGTGGGCTCCGCCGCCGGCGACCGCGCGCACATCTTCCTGCCGCTCTGCACGCTGCACCAGATCTGCTACCTATGCGTGAGTACCACGCCTCCGCACTCACACACACAGGAATTTCCCATCTCATCGCTCAGCAAGTCAGCCACCAAGAACTTTTAATAATTATGGCGCAAATGTACACTACACCCAATTTATACTTTCTAGGATACATATTTATTAAAAATACAAAGTAATAGATTGGCAAATTGAAATGCGCGGTGGTGCTACGAAAAAGCGCAATGTTTTAGATTTATAGAAACCATACATTTATAAACTAGACATTTCCGGTTAAACTCAGCTTCTTTCTTGTCGATGTGAACGTAGACGTCTACTGACTTCAGTCGCATTCGTAGTAAGGCCGTCTTTCGAAGTTAATCTGATATGCTTTTGGATTCTTAGGTAGCGGACTGATACGGTTGTAGACCATCATTTAGTACACAAAATGTTATGGAAGTGGGAAGAGTGGGAAACCGAGAATGAAAACTATTTCGGATTAATTTTTAGCTTCCACTTTCTACACCATTTTTTAAGATTCATGAGGCGGCGCGTGTATTAAGTATTCAGTAGAGATCCATTGATCAGTTGCAAAGATGACAGTTTCTGATTAAATTGCAAAGGAAGTATGTTTAGAAGGATATGTAGGAATATCTATGAACTAAAAATTAAAATGAACTGGTTACAAAGTTGATCCTTGGGGAATCCCTGCTTAAATTATTACACTGTGCTGCCACAGTCGGGGCCCAATTCTATTTACAGCCCCGACCAAGCGACACGCGCACAACACGAGTCACGGATTGTATTGGAGGAGCTGAAGAGTGAGTGGGCGGCCTTTGGCGTTGCAGGGCCCGGCGGTGGGAGCGTCGGCGGCGGGCGTGCGACGCGTGTTCGCGCGCGAGGCGCGCCTGGGCTGCGGCGAGGACGCGCGTGGCGCTGGCGCGCGGGCGGAGCGTGGCCCTGCTGCGTCGCCGCATGCCCCCGCCCCCGCCGTCACCCCCAAC